GTTGTTTAGTCTGAATGAGTTGTATGCCCTTTTGTCAAGGACAAACTTAATCTTTCTTACTGGTGCAACCAAACAAACTGCAAATAGAACAGGAGTACTTGTGGCACCTTAGAGACTAACAAATTTATTAGAGCATAAGCTTTCGTGGACTACAGCCCACTTCAAAAGTTTTTTTTCTCTTACTTAATTGGCCTCTCAGAGTTGGTAAGACAACTCCCACCTGTTTATGCTCTCTGTATGTGTGTGTGTGTATATCTATATCTATATATCCTCAATATTTATTCCACTCTGTATGCATCTGAAGAAGTGGGCTGTAGTCCACGAAAGCTTATGCTCTAATAAATTTGTTAGTCTCTAAGGTGCCACAAGTACTCCTGTTCTATTTGCAGTTTGTTTGGTTGCACCAGTAAGAAAGATTAAGTTTGTCCTTGACAAAAGGGCATACAACTCATTCAGACTAAACAACTGCCAGCCAATATATCCATGTTCAACAATCTGGATGGAGACACAAGTTGTCCTTGGACAACTCATCTTAAGTTTCCTAGATTCATAAATTCAAACAGCTTGTGACACTGTGCAAGGTACCTTCTATCTTACAAGTTATTCAATGGTATCAATCACAGAGGAAGACAGGGCATTTAAAAATGTTAAAGTTAATTAATACTTGTGCAATATAATTGGTATGGATTTTTGATCTGTAACAAGTTAATCTAGCAAAGAGATTTTATACCTATCATAGAGGTTACTCTTTGGCAGGCAGCTGCTTCTTATTTACCCTGTTGTCCTAGTCACTATATAGTCACAGCTAAGAACAGCAATCAGCAGAGCACTGAATAATGTAATAAAATTGTATTCTCTCTGTTTGGGATGATTGGGAAGAAACTTTATGAGGGGAATCACAGCTCATGCTAGATGTGACTATAGGAAGTATGCAGGTTCATGGGCATGAACATAGTGTGGTGCAGTTGTTATATCCTCTTCCTAATTAAGACAAAGGTAAAACAAATTTCAAACTTACAGAGGCTAACTACCAAATTAAGGAATCTAAAATAAGGAAGCTAGCTGGAGACATCAGATGACAGAGAAGGCTATAAAGAGTCTGAATTCTGAATAGCCAAACTATATCTTGTGAAACTAACATTTTGCAATACTAAAAAAGGAAACATTCCATCACATGCATCTCTGTTTAACAGATAAAGCAAAATCAGAACTAGGTCAGGCAATTAGTACAGTGCCACATCCAAAATAGATATCTGGCTGAAAAACACTGCTAAGCAGACAAATATTCAAGTATCTCAAAATGATCCATGGTTTTGTTGCCAGCATGGTTTAAAAACTCATTATCCCTTCATAACGAAATTATAAAAGAAAACTAGGTAAACATTGTAAGTTTGCAGACTTCCAGGCAATGCACCCAAACTGCTTCTTAGTGATCTACTGTTAAGGCAAAATGACAAATTTCAGTTTGGAAATTTGGCTTCTTGGGGGAATTTTTTTTTTTTTGTAAAGTGATAGCTGGATACTCCAGAATCCTTTTGTTGATAAGCAGCTCAATATGGTAACCTAGGCCATGTCTATACTAATTGAGGAAACATTATTGCCTCTAGCAAATTGAACATAATAGGACATTAGCTTGAAATCCAACTTTAAAAAAAAAAGTTTAGTGTTTCAGGTCCTACATATGCTGCTATTACATATGCCCCAAGCTAATTTTGGCTGTTCCACAATCACTCTTAAAAGGCTTCCCCTTTCTCTAGTTGTGTAAAATAACCCACATAATCAAAGGGGGTGTGGGGTGGGTGGGGATGTGAAACTGTCCTTTGTGGGTACTCAAAGGAAATAAACTTAAAAACCAGAAGTGACTTCTCTAGTCTTTCAGTTATAGTCATTGTGTGTGTGTTATGTAACGTTGTAAGTGGTTTTTTTTTAAACATTAGGTGTGGTGTTTTGATTGGAAAGTTAAGTTCAAGAAAACAGACAAGTTTCTAGATGGAGAGTTACAGAGATAGCCTTCCATTCCTGAACCAACATACACTGCTGTTCCCTGATCTTCAGACAGTTCCAGAGCATCTACTATTCACAGCTTTCCTAAGCAAAAGCATGAAATTGACAAGACTGATTAGTTTCATTGATGCTGTTCAGAAGCTCCTCTGGAGCAGCAGTGAAATTGACACACATGTCCCAGCAACAGAATGAAATTAGCACAGGTCTGGAGCTATTAGTGTGGTAAGGGAGAGACCCCTTCCTTCACAACTATCATGAAACTGGAGGAAGGATAGAGGAGATACACCCTCTCCTCTTAACAGTCAGGCTGCTCTTAGTAGACAGAAAGATCTTCTCTTCCCTTTCAGAAGCCATGAAAGTGGGCTTCAGGTATGTCAGACACTTAATCAGAGGCTGCTACAAAAAGTGGAGCCTGGAAGCAGGGACCTGAAGCAGCATCTTGGTAAAAATTCCTATACTTTCCTCTCTCTCAATAGCTAGGAAGTTTTGGTTGGAGATAGGATAGCTTCTTGCTTGGACATTGACCCAAACAGGCTGCATCTTTCTTACCAACCTTTTGCTACCAGGTTTTGTTTTGACTGTTAGATGTTGGGTAAAGTTTTTCCAAATCTCGTGTACATGAATGTATGTGAGAGGGTGAGAAACACGATAGATTGTGGGGGTGAAGTGGAAGGAAAAAATATAATGGAGAAAGATAATGCAATGCAGGGAAAAAGGTAAGATGAAAGACACTGAAGACAACATAGAAAAGATATGCCGTGATCAAAGTGAGTGAAGCCAAGTTATGAAGAAAGTGAGTCCAAAAAAAGTCAGCCATCCATTTACTCAGAGTTTATTAAATAGAAAGCTGACAGTTACATTTTAAATGTAGAACATAGCCGTTTTAGTTCTTGTAAACTGCAGAAGCCATGGTGCCACAAATTTGTCACTGTAGAGAGTAGCATTAGTGCCCAGATTAGTAACGGTTGGGTAAACTTTTCAAGCCTAGCCTATTTACATTTATAAAGTTCATTCCAGACATTTAAATTGTCCATTCCAAGCAACAGCGTTTTCATCATTGCCTTGGAAGAATATTCTGTACTCCAGAATTTCTGGAAATTTTCCTCGCTACTCAGTCTAAGATTTCCCTTACCTAACCCTATTATTTCTAGTAATCTCCCTTTGCACTACTATAACATTGAATAGTATTTTATAGATTAAAGATAATCAAATTAAAAGCTATCGGACTAATTGATATTCAGCATCCTTTTTGTAACTAAAGACAGCTTAGAATTCCACATTCCATAAAACAACAGTTTCTTTACCTCTCCCATTACAGGGCAGTATTCTGCCATGCAGTAATAATCCTACTGATGTTTTTCATCCTTCAGAATAATAGTAACAAGTAATACAAAAAACTTAACAGCATTGCAGAACCAATGTAGATATGACAAGTGAGCCCAATTTTCTTTTGCTTTCAGTTCTATCTAAGCTGAAATTGCAAGACCAAGTTTTGCCCTCAGTTACATGTGTACAACCCACTGAAGGCATTAAGTTACAACCTGTGCAATTCTCAATACAATGGGGTTACACAGCTGTAACTGAAAGCATGTCCCCTATAGGATATTTATTACTAGTGACGAGAAACCAGCTTGATTACCAGTGGTATGAAGTATACTTTAACCTAATGCATCTGCATCAAATCAAAGAGAAACCTGAAGTTCTTTATAAGAAACTGAATCACACAAATTCAAAGATGACAGTCATATAGTTATCCACTTCACCACCAACTCTCCTGCCACACCTCTAAATAGCCTACCCAAACACATTTTCACACAGTGGCCTCTAAGCCACTACAGCAGCATGCTCCATGTCAACATAGAGCCCCAAGGATACACCTGTGTGCAGTCAACTGCAAGATCCAGATCTAAGAATCTGGCTGGATTTTAAGATCCCCTTTGCCTCTCTTCAATTACCTTTGCAATACTTTCATTATAAACTTATTACAAATATTTGTTGTACTGGTGAAGGCCACATTTCATATTTTAAAAAGATATGATCAGTTGCATCAAAAAGTCATGTATAAATTAGAATTTGGAGTATGTGAGCTCATTCATATGCAATGTTCTAACAGCATGCTTGATGCAGACTACTTAGCGGAAAACAATCAAAATGATGAACTCTGCTTACACAGCATGTCTTCAATACATTTTGTGTCCTGACACAAAAGTAAGAGTGTCACTTCAGTGTTTTGAAAAAGGATACTGTAATAGAATTAAGGTTCACTTATGAAACAAGACAACTGTTACCTAGACCACAGAAAGTCATAAAAGGAAGCAATTGTTCAATTGTACATTGCTGTGGAGTAGGGAGAAGATAAATTCAAAGTGGACTCTTCTAAAACAAAGAACTTGCCCTAACTATATTGGCAGAGATTTTCAAGATATCCTATTAAAGTCAATGGGACTTCTCCTCCTGAATTCCTTATTCTCAGTAGTAGTAGTACAGATTTTCAGGAATCCTTAGGATTGTTTATTGTTTTGTTATGTATTTTAGAAGGAAAAATATATCAATTATTTATGCTACTAAACAATTGTTTAAAAATTGGAAACCATTTTATATAAATTATCTAGTTCAAATAAAATAAATTTGGTATTTACTCCCTCTAAAAATAAAAATTTGTAACTATACTTAATGGTTTAAAAGTAAATGATCTTAAATTCTCTATTTATATAACACTACAAATAAACACGGCATGCAGTCCTCTTGAGATTCTTTCCCCCCCCTTCACATTTTAAAAACTGTATTGGTATGTTTGTGTGCAGTTGCAGTATTTCATCAAGAAGCCTTTGCCAACTTAATCTTTCATACAAGAAAGAAAAAAGTCAGAAGTGTATATTAAGTAAATATAAGATGCAAAATAATCATTGCAAGCACAAGGAAAACAACTTCCAGGACAATAGCTTGTTAATCAAGTAATTTAAAATAGATAAATAAAGCGCCTTGCTCTCATATAGCCCATTACTGAAATTTGTTAAATTTAAAAACAGAATATTTTTAAAGTGGTTACATATGATCTAAAATTAACATATCCAGGACTTAAACATCGTGCACTGCACAGTTGAACAGCAGCTGCTGTGATTCATAAGGCATCCACTTGTTGCATCTTGTCTTTAATTAGGCCAAAGTCCTGCAAATACTTATTACACAGGTGCATTGCCTTACACATTAGTAGTCTTGCATTCAGGCTACTCACATATGCAAAGTTAAGTTACTCACATACAAACACTTTGAAGAGAGTGCTTCAGGATCAAGTTCTTCAGGACAGGGGTTTAAGTTATTACTGTTTGCACAGCTCCTAGTACAATGAGATCCCAATGCTGAATGAGGTCTCTAGAAACTACTGTAATCCAAACATAGAACACTTTTTATCTCAAAGTATCCCAAAGTGCTTCACAAGTGTATACACATAGCTCACTTCATCTACTCCTGAAATGAAGTGATAGGTATGGAGAGGATTAGTTCAGAGGTATATGAAGGTTACAAAAGTTACAGGGCAGCTGCACAGGGCTACCACAAAAGTCAATTTGTGTAAATTTATCAGCTAGGAGTTTAACTAGCTTGGCTAGATTTCTGCTATTCTGACTATTGCCCAAACCTTCAAGTGTTTTCTTTTCCCACTGAAGAAAATCCAAGCTTCAGTTCAGAAAAGTTCCCTGGGACACTAACCTGACTGGAGTTTTTAGGGAAAGTTGGGTCTTACAAATGTTCTCCCATAGGTCACAATAGTTTTTCTGTGTATTATTATGTCTGTACTTTTCCTAACCCAGGGAAGGTGTTAACTGTATGTTTTGTCATAGGAAGCAGACTAATAAATACTTCTAGTTACTCCTAGAAGATCTCATTTGAATACTGGTTTTCTGCCTATACCTTTTACAAAGAATTATCAAGTTTTCCCAGTAAAGTTCTGCACATTTAAATCATGCTGCTTAACCAACACAACTACTAGTTAACTGTTTCAGGGCATCACCAAACAGCATGAACAGCCCTAACCACCTCTTGCTTTACAGAATATAGCTGTACTTTACAACTAACCCACACAAAGAGTGGTTTGGGGCAAATAGTTAAGAGGAGAGGAACCTGTAACTTCAACCGCACACAACAGGATGAAAAGCAGTTGAAGTTACAGGTT